CTCACCCATCCATTTATTCATCCATTCCTCCATCCATCCATCCATCTTTCCCAGTCTCCTTCCCTCTACAGAATTAAGCATGCTTTGCCAGCTAGTTCCTAACACCTTGTAAGAGGGCAGCTTACTTAAATCTTAATCGCATCACTGTGGGGTTCTGTGAAAGCTTTGAAGTTGTTTCCAGGGTTGCTTAAAAAATTTGTGCCACAAAGAACTGTGATGGTAGTAACTCAGCAGGAAGCATTGGTAACATCTAGTTTATCCCTAGGTGGGCTGTTAAGAACTAGTCTTCTCTTTCTTTTTCTAGGAAGTGCTTTGTTTGTGGTTCAGAAAGAAGTTGTTCTGATGGATTTTGTTTTGTAGAATTGCTATGGATTTGCTTTGATATTTAGTGTTAGTTTAGGTAAGTTGAAACTGCAGGGTGCTCAAACATGGACGTGGATTAAAGTATCAAAAATTGCATATTTATTCTAAGCATATTCATGGCTTGAGTTGTTAAATTACACTGTTGTAGTTATGAAACTCCCAAGCAGATATGACCAAAATGAATCAAATATATAATATGTGAATAAAAGAATACTTATAAACTGGCCTATAAATTCTTGGGATCTTCAAGTTTCAGTGTCATGTTCACAGGAAGAAAATTAAATTACCTTGCAGTCTTCTGAAAAGCTTACTCTGTATTATCCACTATATATAATAGAATGTGATTATAGACTCTTGCTCTAGACTGCAAGTTTACCTTATCCATTCTTATACCTTAAAGAAGTATTTTATACTCTTCTAAAACATTCTGACAGATGAAATCTATTATATTTTGAAAGACTTTCTGAAATGATTAAATAGCATCTCTTGGTAACCATTACAATGTTTAAGAACAATCACTTTGTTTTTCTTTAATCTCTAATTTCTCCTTATCCATAGAACACAGAACACACATATTTTATATATATACATAGAATATATAAATATTTAGAATTTAGAGGTTATACTATTCTTTCTGTATTCTGTAGTGACCTTAGTTATGAAATGTGTTATATACAGTATCATTCAGAAGTTTGAGAAAGTTAGCTAAAGAATATTTACACTAAAGTTTCCAGAAAAAAAGCATTATTGTTCATCTGATGAGACAAAATAATGTCGTTAGAAGATAATCCTTGGAATTTCAGTAGAATGTGAGGATACCTTTTAATCTACTGAGATGTTAAGAAAATTTAATTATTTTAATATTTTCCCACAGGAGTAGTGATACTCTGATTACAAAGAGTTAGTTCTTGCAGCAGTGGTTCTTAATACTTTTTTAGATAGTACCCTTTGATGTGCACACCCACTTACATTTTTCATGCAAGTTTAAAAGATTCACCCCTTTTCCCCATCAAAAAAAAAGAAAAGAAAAAAAAAGAAGCTTATCTGTAGTTTAAAGAAATACTCGACTAACTTTAGACTGCTTATTCACTGAGCTTCACCAGTCTTCTAATCTAGTGATTCTCAGCAGAATGGGAGTATTTGTGTATCAGAGTCTCCTGTGAAGTTTAAAAAGTTATTGTCCTCCTTGCCCCAGCCCTTCCTCTAGGCCACCTTTTGTTCTAATTGGCACCTCCCCCTTCCCCATCACTGTTGTAAGCAGTGTTTTATAATATATAACTTGGTTTCCAGAGAGAATTTATGCACTAGGAAGGGAGTGACTTGTTTGTCTTCAGACCTAGGCTAGATACAGTCAAGTGTTAAATAAAATTTGTATTTAATTAGCTTATCTATTTCCTATGATACTGAACATCTCCAGAGAAGTGTTAAAATAAATCACTGTTCTCATATTCTAACCTACCAAGTTGACATTGGAATGGAGGTTAAAGACGTACCAGGTAAAGGCACCAAAAAGAGCCTGGCTATGTAATCCAACATATCATGCCCATCACAGGCATTGCCCTCTCATTCTTGAGGCTATTAGCTTTGGGTTGGAATTCAGATAAAGCTGGGAAGGAGGTGATCTTCCTCATTGTTTGGGAAGGATAAATTGAAACTTGAGACCAGAATAGGACATAATCTAACAATGATGCATCCTCAGTTTTTCCCAGTAGTAAGAATGTGTCAAGGCTTTGTTCATCCTCATCACACAGAAGCCTGCTAGGACAGCATATTAAACAAGTCAGTGAATTTTAGAATTGAAAGGTAACTTAGGACTTCCCTGGTGGCGCAGTGGTTAAGAATCTGCCTGCCAATGCAGGGGACACGGGTTCGAGCCCTGGTCGGGGAAGATCCCACAGGCCGCGGAGCAACTAAGCCCGTGCACCACAACTACTGAGCCTGTGCTCTAGAGCCCGCAAGCCACAACTACTGAGCCCATGTGCCACAACTACGGAAGCCCGCGCGCCTGGAGCCCGTGCTCCACAACAGGAGAAGCCACTGCAATGAGAAGCCCGTGCACCAAAACGAAGAGTAGGCCCCGCTCACCTCAACTAGAGAAAAACCCGCGTGCAGCAACAAAGACCCAGTATAGCTAAAAATAAATAAATTAAAAAAAAAAAGAAAGGTAACTTAGTAATGTAAAGATTTTCTGCTGTAGAAGCAGTGCATTGGAAACAACGTGAAACTGGAGTCAGACGAACTTGCTTTTTTCTGCTTTTGTATTTTTAAGGAAACCACTTCTTTGATTCTTGGTTTTCAATAGAGTGAGGGCAGTAGTATCTGTGTTACACTTCATAGAACTAGTGAGAGGATAAAATCTGATTTCAAAATATTAATTATACCTTGTAAATTATTAAATTTTATACAAATATATGACAAACAGATCACGTCTTTGCTTGCTAATAAATTAGTATCATTAATTGGCCCTCGCTCTGTCTGGTGGCTATCTTTTGTGATTATATTTCTATAATACATGTTTATAATGTGTTCCTTTTTATAAAACTGGGTTCCTAGTAACACCTTGCTTAGTAATTCTACCATTTGATTAGTGTCTATAGATGCCAGGTACTGTTATTGCAGGTCTGTGAAAATGTAAAAGTTAACAAGATAATCTTTGCTCAGTAAAGGTAAACAGTTATAGATGGAAGCTAGTGATGATGCTGGAGCTTGGATTACTGTTAATATTAGAGGCAGAATGAGATTAGTGGAACAAATGTTTTTAAAGATAGCATCATACATTAGTTCACTTCATAATGAAAAGTATTTTCAGGGACTACCACTGAAATTACAGAAATATTTTTATTTTGGTTTTTGTAATGAAGAATATTATTTTTTTCTTCGTACGTAACCAGCTGTTGGTAAGAATAGGTATCACTTGAGAAGGATTGAACTTTTCTGTGTATGTGTGACTCTTGGATGATGATGTTACCCTAACTTTTCTTGATATAATTTATTTAAAATAAGTACTATTAGAACATCTTTGATTTAGAATTTGGTAGGAACTAATAAGCTTGGTAAGGTTTAGTGAGAACAATTTCAATTCGTATGTACAATCATAGAAAAGAAGAGCTGAAAGGGACCTTACAGATCATCTTATCACTGATTCTGAAACACTTTTAGAAGGTCAGTACACTTGTCTTGTTCTGCTGAGGTGCATTAGGACCTGCTGAAGAGGGACATTGCTGGGGGTGTGTGGCCCAGTGGGTATGCCTAGACCGCCTCCTCCTTTCAACCAAGGTGGCCCAATGATATGTTTTATATATTGCTGATAAATGTAAGTTTTTTTCTTTAAGTAGTTTTTATGTTTGAAAATGTAAGTTAGATAACTAGTTTTGTTCCCTTATTTTTATGACAAAATTACAGGGTACCAGAGAATTAAAATTAACTGGAACCCTGATTTCAGAACTTCACTTCAGCATTGTTCACTTATATCGTACTGCCTCCATGTGGCTTTAGTAAATTAAAAATCCTATTAAGCCAAGTTAAATGATGAGCAATCAAGACTTTGTATGACTGGATCTGACATCAAGAAGATTTGATTGATGATGTTAATATCAAGACCTGGCATGATATTTAAGTGAAAGTGATTTGATATTTTTGCTTCTTTTATATATAAAGTAGTAGTTTCTTTGAGTTCTAAAAAAATGTTCATAATTGAAACTCAAATAAGTTTTTATAATTTTCAGAGTTTATTATTTGAACTCTGCCCTTGAACTCTTAAAACATTAAAGACCTCTTTCTTAGAGGATAGGATATGGTTCATTTATGGTCTCATGTGCAGATAAGTTAAATAAAGTGATTAAGGGCATAAAATTGTCCTTATCTTTGAGTTTCTAGATGAATTCTCATTAAGTAAGAGTAAATATGTATTTAGTAAATATGCAGTTTTTCTGTAAAGTGAGTGTTTATAGAGCTTTTGTTTGTCCTTTGGCATTAGAGAATTAACTTACTGCCTGACTTTTCACTTAACAATGAAATTAAAACAAGGTGATTTGTATGATTTGTAATGGCATCTAATGAACAGTTGCATTGTGTGTGAAACAAATAGAAGATCTGTTTTTTAAAAAATAAATATGCATTTAGTTAAAATTGATATGGCCTTGACATTTTTGGCAAGATGAATTTGTTAGGATTCTTCCTTAAATTTAGAATTCTCTAGCATAAACATAGAATAATAGCAAATTGTACCTCTCTTCCTATTAATAAATAATAAGGTATTAGTAGTTTTAAAAATTGAGATGTAATTGACATATAACATTATATCAGTTTCAGGTGAACAATATAATAATTAGATACTGGTGTATATTGCAAAATGATTTTCACAGTAAGTCTAGTTAACAATTACTACGCAATAGTAATTTTAAAGAATTTTAATTAACGAGCATTAAACAGAATGTTTAATGACTACAGATTAGAATGACTTGTAGAATCTATTTACAGCCAACTATTAGGGTACTGAAAACTTAGATCAGCATAATCTATCCCTTTTCCACAACTTCTGGTAATTGTTTTGGTAGATTTCTAAAAAAATGATAAAGTGATTATTAAGTCAAATTGATGGTTAGTCTCACGCTGTCTCTTCTTAAAATTATTTGCAGGAGAGGGCTGCTCACAATTTATATGGCCAACTTGGTGAGTAATTCTTTTTTTTGCTTTCAAGGTTTTTCCATGTACTTTTTAACCTTTTTTTGTTTGTTTTTTTTGAATCAAGTTCCCTTAAAAAAAAAAAAGAAAGAAAACCTACTTAAATTTGAGAATATTTTCTGTCTCTGTTTTAAAGGATAGACTTAAATGTTTAAAATAGCTTTGATGCTCTCTGGTTTATTCCTGTCATATATGACTGAATTGCACTTACTTCAGGAGGAAGATGATTCATGGCCCTGTGTCCTTCATGACTCTTTTTTCCTTAAAGATTAGATCTTCATCTATGATAGGGTATATATCTATATCTGTATATGTCTCGCTATATATCTTTAACTTCATTTCATACTCTGCTTCTATTGCTAACTTCTTGTGGCAAAAAAGATTTAAGGATGAGCTTTTATGATGCACAGTTTTCTTGGAATCAGAATAGCATTCATTCTATCTAAATACTGAATATATTTAATACTATAATTAGCTAGGCTTCTAAATTTCTAAGTTTTCAGAATTGAAATTAATGTTGTCTAGTCTGATATTTACTGTAAATATATAATCAAGGTTATATGCTTTTCATTGTCAAGTTCATATTTTAAAAACATATTTGTATTAAAACCTTTTAAAGTTGTTTAATGGAATTGATAGGCGACATTGAAAAATTCAGCTATGGAAAGATGAATTAATTATGTGTTTACCTAAGGATAGGTTTTTGAATTTTGTAACAAGGGAATGTAGTTCAGGGTTGTATTCAGCAACTTATTTCAGTTCAAAATGTTTAATTTTTGCTCTGTTGTTATCATGTGTCAGTTACTGTGCTATATGCTGGAAGGCAAGTTGAAGACAGTCCTTGTACTTATGGAGTTTGCTGTCTAGTGGAAAAGTCACAATAGAAATAATGTTTGAAAAGGACTGGAAGATGAATTATAGGGTGCTGTGGAAACCATAATAGTAGCACCAAACTATGCTAGATGCTGCTTTCCTTTCTGATTTTGTAAAAAACTTAAAAATATTACATCTGCATGCTAGAATAGATTTGAGTTTTAATGCATTTTTTTTCTTTTAGTCATACACATGCTTTTCTATACTACCGCATGGTGATACTTTAATACTGAAATACTATATGTATTTACACATTTATCTTAAATTCTAAGTAAATTTCGACAAACTTTTTTTGTGTTGCCTTGTTTAGATTGGAAATTCCTGGAGAGAAGATATTTGATTTTGATTAATATAATCAATGTTGGAAAATGCCCTAAAAATACTGTATTTTTTTTAAGATTAAACTTTTTATTTTGAAATAATCATAGGTTCATGTGCAGTTGTAAGAAATAATAGAGAGATCTCATGTTACTCTCTACCCAGTTTCCCTTAATAGTATTATTTTACAAAACTGTAGTAGTATCAAAATTAGGATATTTACATTGATATTTACTGTAGTCAAGATAGAGAACATTTCCTTCACAGGGACCCTTCATGCTGCCCTTTTGTAGCTACATTTACTTCCCTCTGACCCTTACCTCCCATTCCTCAACCTCTGGCAACCATTACTTTATTCTTTATTTCTGTAATTTTTTAAATTCTATAATCATTTCAAGAATGATGTATAAATAGAATTATATAGTACATACTATTTGTCATTAGCTGTTTTCACTCAACTTAATTCTCTGGAGATTCAAGTTGTTCGGTATATCAGTAGTTCATTTCTTTTTATTGCTGAGTAGTATATCATGGTATGGCTGTACTAGTTTATTTAACTATTCACCCATTGAAGAACATCTGGCTTGTTTCCAGTTTTTGGCTGTTAACAAATAAAGCCGCTATAGATGTTCATGTGCAGGTTTTTGTGTGAACATGAGTTTTTATTTCTCTGGGATAAATGCCCAGAAGTGTAGGTGCCAGGTTGTATGGTAGTTGAATGTTTAGTTTTTAAAGAAACTGATAAACTGTTTTCCAGAGTGGCTGTACTATGTTGTTTTGATAGTGTTCCCGATTTAGAATAAACCTTTGAATCTCTCGATCTTTCTAAATGGGAAACTTTTTGTGTTAACTTAACATTAACATTTGTCTGTTAAGTAGATTTGTACTTTTTATGTCCAGATTAATAAATGTCAGTATTAGGCAAGTTTTTCAGAAAGTGCAAAATATGAATTGGTCTTTTATCTTTTGTCAGCCAGGGTCTGTAATTTAAAAATTTAATGAGATCAAAGGCTTTTACACATGGATTTTTGACTATGTCCAAAGGAAATGAATTTGTACATGATACATTCTGGATACTAATGATAGTCTTAGTATCTTCATCGTCCCTTCCTCTGAATAGAGCCTTTTATTTATACTATTGCTGTATAACTATTACTTAACTAAGAGGGTGGTTATTGCAGAATAGGTAAGAAATACTTTCAGAGACTGAGTTTAACCTTAAGAAATAACTTTGTTCTGTAACTCTATTATGTTGCTCACTAGACTAAGTTGAGATTGTTGGCTTATTTTAACATCAACGACACAATTTCTAAATGTTGGGAGGTTTTATTTTAAGAAAATTATACATTGTATTTAGGTATGTGTTTCTGATTTGGAAAGTAGAGAAAAACATGAAGAAGAAAGTAAAAATCATCTGTAGTTTTACTGTGTAGTAATTACTAACATTTTAGTGTTTATTTCTTTATTCCCTTCCCTTTCCTCCAGTGTACCTATATAAATACACAAACATAGATGCACATTCACATTATATACCCATTAAAAAAAAAATTGGGGGCATACTGTTTTGTGACATCTTTTGTTACTATGCCATATAGTTTTGATTGCTCATGATATTAAATAATCATTTTTTGAGGGTGTAATCCTACCTTTTCACATACTTCTTGGTTATATTTTCATTATATTGGGTTGGTTTTATACATATACATATATATACAGTCCTACTCAAAATGTTGGGTGACAGTAAAATACTCTTTAGTTAGTAATAATATCATTTTGTTAGTTTTGGCTGTGACAGTTACCCACTCCTTATTTTGATCAGGAAATTTCAAAGGCATTGCTATGCCTTTGAGTGAATACCTGATAGAAAAATATGCAAAACTGGCTTCGTATTACCTTTATCATCTTTGTCTTTATTTTTATCAGTGAACACTTATTGAGTGCAGAGCACTTTGTTATGTATTGGGACACAAATATAGCCATTATTCTGTCCTTGAAATTAATTTAGTTGAGGGAATAAGGTATATCTAGATTTGGATTTAAAATGAATAGGTAATAAATAGTCCAAGATAGTGTATTCATGTCAAATATATGATTAGACAGTACAGTCTTTAGAACTGTAGAAAAGGGAGGTATCTTTGGGCTGGGGAAATCAGAGAAGATTTTATGAATTACGTGGGACCTGAACCTTGAAGAAAGGAGAGGAATTGGAGGTAGCTCCATCTTAGAGATGTGTCACTGGTGATCACAGGACAAAATTGTTGCTTTTCCAAGGATTGCCAAGTTGAGGCCAAGGTTTAGGAACAAAAAAAAGAATAAGCAACATTTGTTGAGTATCTACTCTGTTAGGCACTGTTGCTGAAATTGGGGTTACCAAAATAAACAAGGTATAGTCCCTGCTTCCGAGGACCCTATATTTTACTGAGGGAGAGAGAGATGTAAGCCTTATCTCTGTTTTTTAGCATTGATAGTTGTCTCAAAACAGAAAACAGGACAGTGTTTATACTGTGTAGTTGTGAATATGCTCTGTTTATGTTAGTGTTGTAGGGGGCAGGTAGAGAGCTACATACTCTAAATAAGGGACATCTCTATTAATGCTTTTGTTATTATAAGATCTTCCCTTGGGCTACTCTTATTACTCATGATATATGTCAGGAAGCCCTGGTAAGTCTCAGTTATTAGACTTAAGTAATTTATAGCCTTAGCTATAAATGTCATAAATTATAATTAAACTAGCAGTTTTAAAGGCTACAAAGTCTTACAATTTAATATAATTTAATTAATACCCATGTGAAAATGTCATTGATTTCTTGTTCTATGTTAGCAAATTTTAGAAAGAAAAGTGTACAATTTTAAAAATTGTATAATTTTTTAAGATTTTTAGCATTGTTAGATAATTAGTTATTAAAGGGCAAAATGTATAAAAGGTACACAGAAAAGGTGTGAAATAAAGAATTAAACATTTTCTCTGGCATTTGCCCAAGATATGGCTAGAAGATGATGGAAGTGTTTCCCTGGGGCTAATATACCAGAGCCAATTACCCACAAGAACATAAGCTGCTAGCATTCAACTTTGCCACAGTATGATTTAAAGGAGAATACATAAAAGTTTGCATGTACATGATTTCCCTTTATTTCGTTGGTTGTAACAATGACTGTGGATTCCAGTTTTTCAAAATTTATCATTTGCTGCTAATAGTTATTTAGGATGTGCTGTCAAGTTCTAGTTCATTTGTTTCATTTAATTATAACTTATGACATTAAAAAATCTTTCTATGTTAACTCCCTTTGAAACCTTCTCTCTGCAGTTTGCCTTATGCCACCAAGCATTTAACAATGCATGCATTTTAAAATTGTAAACATATACCTACAGGCTTGTCTCTAGCATTTGTTTTTTAATTTTGAACATGCAGTGTCTTTGATTAAAACATCTGTATTTGATTTTTCAAACATAAGGTTTGAAAATGTTGATTCATAAGTTTTCTTGTAAAACCACTTCAATTTAATTAGATCCAGCAGGTATTGATTATATATCAGCTATGCTAGGCACATGAAGATACAAAAGAAATACAAAACGGATTGTAAGCTAGTTGGAGAAATTTGACAGATGAACTCGAAAAATAATAAACTGAAAGTATTAAATTCAAAAAACGATTATAAATACTGTCTCTTAAATTGCTCCCCTAAGCCTTCCTTTTGCAGCAAATGACATCAACCGTCCATCCAGTTGCTCAGGCCAGAAACTTAGGAGTTTTAACTCTTTTCTTCACCTTATACTCGGTCCAATCCATTGTAAAATC